TGTTAAAAGAAAAGCAGTCATTATGTACGAGGCAGAGTTAATGGCTGAGGAGATAGAGGTGGGGAAGCAAACTTTGACGGTTTAATCACTGTTTCCAGCATCCGCGCTTCTTACATCTCCAGATTCGGCGTAAGACAGGCCACTCTATGTGCTGAAATGTGTTTGGTGGGCAATGACGTCGTCTTTCTATCTGACTTAAATGCTACCCTTTCTGCTTCACTTCCATCTACGCAGATTACTTATGCAGCTACTACCAAAAGTGTAATCAAGAGGACACAGAAAACAAAGAACGTGGACGTAGAGTGCAGATAAAAGTAGGAGAAGAAGCATTGGAAAGGGTAGAGACGTTCCACAAAAGCCAGGTTCATGAATGAGTTGATGGAAGTGGAGTGGCGAAAAAACTAGATGTTTTCATCAAGCTGATGTTTTGTAGGTAAGTGTGCGAATTCGTCCTTAACAAAACTCACTTGGCTGGCCTGAAACGAATGAGCGGTTATGTTATTTGTCGTTTCTCTTTTCTCTTTACTATTCGTATCAATTAAGTAGTTTGACTAGTAAGTAAAAGTTATTCGCAACGCAAAAGCAAACCCACAAAAGTGGATTTTAGCAGTACGTGATTAAATCCACCGATGCACTAAACCTGATTGCGAAATGTCACCAAAATTTCCACTACCGTAACTTTATATCACATTGGCTACTAATAACAACAAGTTTAAATAACAAATCACTCATAGATCAACTGTAAAAACAGTTTGTTTCAGAATTGACTTGCAATGTGCAGGAGAAAAACAGTCCACATTCTTAAACATCCTTGTATCTCCCTGCAGCTTCCAGCACCATATAAATGGCGGCTTTACTCGTGCTAAAATTATGTCACACAAATTAAATGATAATGATGATGCAAGCAGAAACCCACACACACCAATTTACCTCATGCAGTGTGCCATTTCGACCTAGTACTCAAAGTGGTAAAAGTGCAGAAAAAATGCACATTTGCATAAATATGCGGGTCATTTATATTTCATTTAGTATTTGAGAAACCAAAATAGACTTCTAGCCGACAGTTCTCTGTCCTGCCTACTCACACAACCTGGTTGTCGACCACCTGCGTCCTTAAAATTATCTTTATACAGTCATTATCAAAGTGAATCTGAGGACGATTGCAAAGAGGTGTCTCAATTCTGATACATCTACTTGTTCCACGATCTCTCATAAGCTGCTCATGTTTCGCTGATGGCATAAATGTCATTCCGTGGCTGCGGTCGAGGTTGAGATCTCAATTCAATCACGGTTTCCAAATAAGCCAATAATTCTTCGCCCATTTTTTCAATATTGCACCTAGAATATTCAAGGCCACGTCAAGGATCTACGACAGAGTGATCTGTGAATAATCAACCATCCCCATACTAAATTCACATACTAACCGAATTTAGCCGAAAGGACATCATCTCAGAAGGCGCGAAAAACATTTTGCTCTAGGTCGTAAATTAGAGCATGTCTGAGCGACTCTGCATTGACTCAGGCCAATCAGAACTGAGAGCAACGGAAATTCAGTCTGCCGCAAATCCGTTTTGAATTCGGAAAAGAGGAAATTTGTCTGAAATCGAAAACCAGCCCAAAGATGATCAAACAATTTAAAGGTTTGAGGAATGGTGGACCTTGGCTGGTTTAAAACAGGGATAAGATTTGTAAACTACGGACATAGAACTCTAATGAGGAGATTTATTTACCACTTAAAATGTGGTAAGCTCCGAGAAAGAAAATAATGTAGTTGTATGCCTACAACCTAAAATGTGGTTTTCTTTCAGGGAACCATTGAGTTTTGTTCAAATACCCAACCGTTGCAAAACGAAAATGCGCGTGTAGCGCAGCAACCGACCATATCAGCTTGATTTAATGTTATCATCAATTTGTCCCTTTCACCCTGAAATTATGTGCTCTAAATTAAAGCTTTTTTCATGCTGTAAGACGTGATGCCAAGGTTTTAGTTTGTCGTAGATATCAAATCTTGGTTTATTAAAACTGAGTGGTGTGTTGCTCGTCGGAACGACAATTTAGCATGACTGAAGAGCTGTGATCGTGTGAATAGAGCGGAAGTCACACATTACAGTGTTCTTTAAGTACTCTTGAGAAATGTTGATATCCTTACAACATTTATCCTTTGGACACCTTAATAGGTAATCTTCGTTAAGCCGAAATGCAGCAGTCGTGTCCTTCGCCACCGTCAACTGCTTCGTTTTGACAGCGTTCTATCTTGTGTACCATGCCAACGTGCGCGACAGCAGTTAACGTGCCTTGAACGTGTTCAAACCAACCATCACTTCCGCATGCGCTCTTTTCCGTCATATATGTGTCAATTTCCAGTTAAACGTTTAAAGAGAAAGCCTGATTTCCAATTTTAGAAAGCACAATTGTCTTAATTTCTGAGGCCTAGGATTTATAGCAGTCTTCAGGCGATACATAGTATCCTGCTGGCATTGAAAGCAACACTTGATAAGAGCTCCACTTTGTTGATCTATTTGTGACTATCACTACTATTACTACAATTGCTACTACTAGCAGCCACATCATCTTTAGTTATTTCAAAACACCTATTGTTTCACGCATTGAACGTCGTGTCTGCAGGCTTGCCAGAATTCATTACTCCAATGCATATTTCATGCGCAAACTATTAGTTGGCAACAATCATGCACCGTCAATATTGCATAGAGTTCCACAATCAGAAACACTGTTCTTCTCCACCACTTTCATAAATTGCTGTTTGAGGGATGCCCAGCATTTTAACATTGATGTCGAATGCAAAGAAGACATTGTGAGGAGCTATTTGTGAGGCGCAATGTGTCATCAGTCACAAAAATCTTATCTACATGCCAAGGTTAAACGCATTTGCCTATATCGTCCAAATACATTGAAGCGTATTGTGAAACAATTTAAATCCAGTAGAATTTGTGTGATTGCATTCAAATTCAAGTGTCGTGTAATTTATAAACCACAACACGAACACCACAAGAAGGTACGTTATCCTCGGACAACAATCTACTTCAACCAATTCGGTCAATGTTACATGCAACGCAATTACAAAGTCTCTAGTGTGTTAACAGAGCTGAGTTTATTTAAAATGTGCATCTACAAACCGTTTGCTTTAAGCTAATGAAAGTTTTTTTTAATTAAATGCACGATTTAGCAGGTCAACGTAGAACGAGCTGCCGCGAAAGCATTCAGACGTCTGTGTTGACATGTCCTTACTCACGGAGGAGTAAGATATCCACTAGCCAAAACAAATGCGTGTCAGTCGACAATGTTGCCAAATTCTACAGAATGGCGTCAGTCATGAAAGTGTGGTTAAAAGGCAACTCTATTGCTTCAAACTACGATTGTGAAATAAGAAATGACGCGAAGCGCGATTGCAAAAACAAGATGACGATTCCCTCTACAACTATCCCTGTCCTTCTTGTTCATGGATAACTAACCCTGCGATTTCCTTCCAGGCCTGCCTCTAAATAATCCAGTCCCGAAAACTGCAATAGCAACACAATAAATAGGCGCTTTCATTAGTAGACTTAGAAACGCCTTGCAGTTTGACATTATACACTACTGCTAAAATATTTGCTGTGTTCTTCTCGATTACCTCGCTTAATTTAATAATCGCTAATTTTGTAAATTCGAAAGAAGGAAACCCAACCCAACATCTAGACGTAAACTCGTCAAATTGCACCCAGCTCATGCGCCCACTGACAAGACGAATATAATCAAAACAGCATTCATAGTGTCAATAGGGGCAGCAGGAATTCTCACAAACGAACGCTCGGTATTCGCAGACTGTAAGACACGGATGACGATCTCTTTTTACAGCGCACTACGCACATGTGATTCTTTTCATATCCAGTCAAAAGTTGCGGACCACCGCCGTGGGTAGTGATTGAAGCGGCACTGAAATTGCATGTTCACTGCCCAGCTACATAGATGCGCCTGTCACCTCGTGTGACTTGATACCATTGTGCAGGCAGTCAGAAGAAGTCCATTCAACTGTCTGCATCGACAAGCCCACGTTAGTCCACCCAGCCCAAACTACAACGGCATTCATGATAAGAAAAATAATTTTATTTAAAATCTAAATTAGCTACAAATCCTCTTCAAATTGGGTTTCGACAAGTAGTACTCAATTTTGTTATCCTTTCCCATTGATTCCACGCTTCTGTTCTCTATCACGCTTTCTTTATCGTCTACCTCCATCTTTTGCTATCTTGCGGTTGAGCCTTCATTTCTGCCTTTATGGTGGTTCGGCGTATATAGCGTAATTTGCGTCGATGCATCCGCTCGGGCAGTGTGCGCGGAGGAGGGGAAGTTGCATGACTAACGTCGATGTCAGACAGAATATCAGTGTCAATTTCTGCCTGAAACACTTCGTGAAGTAAGGCAGCTTCCCCGAAAGTTTGATTTGGCGAAACAAGTGGAGTAGAAGTCTGTATTGGTGACAGAGTCACTCGAAATTCCATCTCCATCTCTAACGACTCAGCGATGTGCCCAGCCTCCGTAACAGCGACTGCTTCTGGATTAATTATGCGTATTCTATAGCGGTTTGTGTAGCTGCCTTATGTTCGGACTCAGGTGAGCAGCCCAAATTGCTAAGAAAATTGTGACCTTTAACTAACATTAAAATCCGAGTTAGTGCTCAAGTACTGCACATGTCCTTGGCGGCCAGCTAGTGATAAGTAGATTTCGCGTCTATTCAGGTTCGATGGACCGCAGCGGCCCCAAATACAAGATTTCGGTTCCAGCTTTTCGGTTCAATTAGGTACACACAAAGCAGTGTCTTTTATTGTCCAAGCAATCAGGGAAAGTCTATTCAACTGTCTGCATCAACGAAGCGGACGAGAATCTGCAATATTCTGTCTTCTTTCTTGGCTTTGTGAAACAGCTCCTGCATATCGAGCCTTTAGGATATATTGAACCACAGTTAATTTCGCACATAATCCCATGTCATTGAGTTCGACCTTAAAATGATCAGTGTTTACTTGTGTCCAGTCACAAGCCAGCAACAAAACTCTAGTGGAATGTGCATCATTAATCGAGAATCAGTCCACATGACGGAGACCGAGCACATCGCTGAGACGTTAGATGTGGAGATGGAATTTCACATGATTCTATCATCGATACCCACATCTACGCCGCTTGGTTCTCCAGATAAAACTCTCGGAGAGACCACTTTACGTCCCGATATGTGTCAGACGGAAAATGACACCGACCCTCTGTCTGACATCGACGCTAGTCCACCCACCTCTCCTTTACCGGCGCACAATGCCCAAGCGGATGCTTCGACGCAAATTGCGCCAGGTGTGACTAACCCCCGAAAACGCATGAAGGAAGAAAATGCAGCCAAAGAGCAGAAGGTGGAGGTGAACGAAGAAAGTGTGAAAGAGTACGAAAGCATGAAATTAGTGGGAACAGATGGAGAAGTTGAATGCCATTTATCGAAACCCAAGTTAAAGAGGATTTGTAGTTGATTTTGCTTGTAAATAAAAGCATTTTTCTTATCATTAATGGCATTGCAAATTAGTCTGGGTGGTGACGTGGTCTTGTTGGTGGTGATGCAGTAGATAACGCAGGTAGAGGGATAGGTTGATGAATGTGAAAGTGGAGATGCGTGTAGACTAGGCTTCTTTCTTCCCACTGGCCACACTAGCTGGCGTTTTGACGACCACTACGACGACAACGACATCACAGCGAAGGTGACATTGGACTGCATTCATGCGGCAGATCTTAGAGAAACATCCACGACCATCCGCACACAGGCTAACCTGGCTTGCCTGAGGCCAATACGAGGTCATGTCGGCTGACCCCTTTTACCTATATCTTGGTTGGTGGGTTGTTACGGGTCACTAAGTGGTATTGTACTACTTTGTAACCACTGATATGATTTTGACGGATAAGCATGCAGGTGGTTCATGTACTTGATTTATGTGGAATCGTCGTCATCGCGTCTTTGTGATTCTGGTTTACGTAGATCAATTTTACTTTCATCAACCCATTTACCAACCTGGGTTTCGTGAAACGTCTCGGCCCTTCTTAATACTTCTCCCCTAATTTGTTTTGCATTCTGCTTCCGCGTTCTTCTGTTTTTCTGCTTTCTATTCATTACTACACTGCAGAGTATTAATCGCACTTTACGTCATAGCTGCTTAAGTATCCTGAGCACTCGGTAGTGAAGCAGGTAGAGTAGCATCGAAGTCAGATAGAAGGATGATATCATTAACCACCAAACACATTTCAATACATTGAGTGGCCTTTCCGGAATTCGTAGCTGGAGAATCAAGATGTGTAGGTGCTGGAAGTTTGCTTCTTCATCTTCAACGCCTCAGATACCAACAGCGACTGCTTTGCATTAACAACGCACAATCCAACGAGGACTAGTACACTGGCTTTAAATTGGACACACATGATGACTGTTCGCGTCGTGATCACATTTTGTGACACCAGATCATGTGCTATGATAGTTTACGTGCAAAAACATCTTATCAGCACTTGACTGCAAATGAAATTTCATCAAGACAGAAAAGAATACAGAATATTTAAAGAAAACTTTACGATATAGAGGTAGAAGCATCGGAATTTCAAAGACGGCAGCGTCTCTGCAGTGTATTGTATATGAAGGGATTGTTGTCGTTTGCTGGTGAGGAACCAACCGCACCTCCGACGCTGTAGTGGACTGGCTTACAGGCAAACGTGTTGATTGGTGCCACTCTATGCAAATTGTCAGTGGGATTTAATGTTGACAGTCAGGAATATACTAGTAAAGCACGGTTTTTTTGAGGATTGCGATGGAAGTGTTTGCAGGCCAAACGGACACACATGCTTGCATATCTGTGATTTATGCTTCTGAATGCATCTGTGCAACGTGGTGTGTATTAAAGGGAATGCGACTGCACGTCAAAATATTTCATACTGTCTTGAAATAAGCTCGAAGCAAAGGTAAATACGTTTGTCTCTGATTAATCAGGGAAGCAATGTAAAATGACACTACGGCGTCGGTTTAAATGCTTTCAGGTCTGCACTTGAACGGATGTAGAAATTCTACATGGTGAAATTGGAACTAATAGATTTGGATCTAAAGAATTCTTCAATTTCATGGGTTCTTTCAACACGTCCAGCACTATCATAACATATCAAATATTGTTATATAGGTTATGATCGTGATAGTTTTTATCGCAAAGGAAGATATTTGTGTTGATCCATGTCATGGTTCGATGAATCGGTCACTTAATTATGGAATGCCTGAAGATGACGTGTGTTTACGTGGTCACTTATTGACAAGCATTTGATTTACATGTCCATTTGTCAGTACATGCTATTTAAAAATGGACGGACGCATCCACACGCCACATAAAATCCACCGCAGTTGTTTTAACGTTCATCCTCATCTACGTTATCGTTTAATCGAGATGGAGGCGAGATTTGAGAGGAAATCATATATTCACCACTTTCCAATTCACATCACCCCGAAAAATACGTGTGTCGAAGTTCGTTCCAGATTAGTATATTGCTGGCAGTGCAGACAGTAGGCACACATTTTCAAATGCCAATTACCGCACTAGAGTAAATAGTCGTCGTAAGCGTAAACGCATGTAGCAGGTTACGGTAAAAACAGCTACAGTTTTTCTGTTTCCCACTACGTTAACATGGTAGATTTTTGCTGTATTGCCGACGTGGATTTCAGCACAGGCTTATTTTGTTAGTCCTTAACAAGCATTCCGTATCAGTGTAGGGCAATCGGCCAATTGCTGTTTTGCGCTTCCAATGAGGCTCAGAACAAACGCGTCGAGACGCTTAGCGATTTGCTCATTCTTGTCCTGGTTTTCCAAACAAAGCTCTTTCAGAGGCTCTTAATGGTACGTGCAATACCATCGATTCAGATCCAACTTGAATGAGCACACTTTGTACAGAGTAGCCCAAAACGTCACACAGAAAAATCCCCGAATAAATGTTTCACTTTGAATCAGAAATTAAAGTGCATTCAAGGACAGTGACTCGTATTTGTCAGTTCGGACAAACTGTCTCCTAAAGTAGCGACCCTATCGCAAAGTCATTTACAACACACAAACGGTCGCCTAAACGCCACGTGACTTGGCATTCACTGCTGAGTACTGAACACGACTTTTAATAGTTAACATTGAAATA